TTAAAAGTAATCATTTTGAACCTACTTCTTTTTGTTCTTTAAAGTGAAAGTTTTAATAAAAAAAAATGAATTTATTACCATAACTTTTAGCTCAACTTGCAATTTTGAAATTGATATTATTAAATAGAAAATAATGAAATTGGTAGATTATTTCAAAAACAACAATAACACTTATTCCCTTAATTCTACCCCGGATTTATAATTATAATATATGAATACATAATAATAACAGTAATTAAATTGAATATGAAAGTGGTATTCAATAATATAGTATTGTAATTTTTACGGAGATAATATAAAAATAAAAAGGAGTTGTATATTCATATACTTTTAATGCGTATACAAATTTAAAGCATTGATGCAATACTTTTTAATAAAAAAATTTTGTTACTTATGAATAAATACACTAAACAAAAGGAACTTTCATTAGAAAAAAAAATATACTTTTCTAAATCAACTTTTCGCGATGTTTTCAAATGTGCAATTAAACTTTTTCTATTACTTCTAAGTTTTAATATTATTCCTTATTATTAAAAAATAAGTATTCACATAGACTTCTTAAGTTATTGAAAACAAAAATAATTTAACCACATTTTTTATTATTATTGTTTTTTTGCCAGGTAGCACAATTTTTATAATTAAAAATATTAACAATCATTTGTTCTATAGCCTATATCTTCACATCCAAATAAACTAGCACTGTTATAATGTTACTTATGTGGGTAGATATCTTACAACACACAATTATTTAAATGGCGGTAGACTTTTATTAAACAAAATTATAACACTAAAATAGACGTANAATTTAATAGCAAATTAAAAAAGTCTAAACATTTTTTGTTCTTTTCAAAAACTTTTAGTTATACTCTTTTAACCCATATCATATTTATTTATATATATATATTTTTTTTTTGTGTCGTTTTTCGATCTTGAACACACATGGTTTGCTGAAAATAACCAACTTTATCATCTCATTACACAAAACTGACTGAACGAATTTTTTTTCAAATTTACATAGTATTAACTTTAGGCAATTAAAATGTCTAATAAAATTTGATGATGGAAAAATAATTTTAATACCACTTATAGAATTTACAAAATGTACAATTTTCGTATAATCGAAGAATCAACAATATCTATTGATGTACTTAACTTTATAAAGAAAAGTAATGAAATTTTCGACTTCTATAAGAAGGAACTTGAATCATTATTTTTTATATTTATATGTCTTTATTGTTCTAAATTATTGGACTCTACAACTTTTATAAAACCTCGATGGTAAACAATTGGCTAAAATCAAAACATGGTCAATAACAATAAACCTTCTTTATAATTTTTTTATGATTATTACCTACTTATAAAACATAAAACATGTAAACAGGTTGTAATTAAGAAAATAAGAGTTGATGTTACTTTTGGGATAATCCAAAAATGCCTATTAAAAAATAATCACTATCTACAGATTTGAAAACAAGCATTTTTTATGATAGTAATTTTTTCACTGTCGAATATCACTTATAATTTTCCCAAATACATCACATTTATATTGTTCTAGCTTTTTTTAATATAATAATTATTTATTATATACTTTCAGCATAAATCGAAACAAATTTTCTTAAACATATTATTTTTCCTATTAACATTAAAAAGACAGCGGGGCAAGGTGACACCATATAAGTTTATTTTGAATCTCTTTAAAAAAGTATTTTCCAAAATAACTTGAAACTTGGTTGAAATATTTACTTATGGTTTATATATTTAGACTATAGGTCAAAATATAATTAATTAATATGTAGTATTTTAAGAAATATTAATTAATTAGAAGAAAAATCAAATTTATTATTTTGCTCCACGCTTGGGGCAAGAAGTTTTCTTTAATAGGACAAGTTGTTATATTCTAACTTAATTTAGGAAGGGATGCTTAAAAAAAAAAATGTACAAACAATACTATTTTTTTAAATTTAAGAAAATCATTTTGCCCCAAATGTCAAATTCAAATCCTCTACCTCATTATTATCTTGGAAATTTATTTCATCAGTGGCGGTACATAGGTGCTTTTGGGGGGGTACAACTTAAAATATAATACCGCTAGTCATTGGTATAAAAAATTGTCAAATTAAATATAATAAAATAAAACACAATACACAAATTATTTTAAAGGTCGCAGTTAAAAATAGAAATGAAAGTAATAATTTTAGCGATTATACTATTATAGTAACCAATAACAACGAGCGTACGCGTATTAATTCTAAAAATAAATTACCCAATATAGTAATTTACTAATATTTTAATGTATGGATGATGCTACCGGTCATTCAAAACCCGTACATAAGCGCGACTCACTTATTATATACGTTTCTGAATGTTGTTCGGACGACGCTATTGGTTGTCCAAACACTGCTCGCGTGTGCTTGAGTACCCGCATATACCGAGGGAAACAACTATAATGTTCGCACATGACAAATGTATTATAACTATTTTACTATTAAAAAATTTGCATTTTGAAAAAAGTAGAATTAAGGATATACAATTAATTTTCTTCTTTTAATTCATTTTATTCCGGGGTGTCCCAACGTCTTGCAAGCTAAGTCTAACTGCCTAAAACCAGTCGCTTACTTGGAGCGTATACCCACCGTGCTTAGCGGTAATGCCACGAATAATAGCCGGTTCATCGTATTATCTATTTGTAAAAGTTTAGGTGTAACTACTATTTTTTTTTTTTATTAATATCTGTTTTTTTTTATTTCTCGCTGTTCCCCTTTAATTTGTAGACGAGGTTTTTTAACCGTTCGGTTTTTTGCTTCGTAATAACTTAATTTTTTTTGTTTTTTTTTTTAATAAAGTCCCCTTAATTTAACTCAACTATCATCTTATTTTTTTGCGTGTTCCATTTTCAATGAACTCGTGTATTTTTTTATCTTTTTTCCTTTCAAAAATCAATTTCCCTTAGTTTATAAGGTACGGGCAACGGCTTTGTATAAGGCCAACCCTCATTATTATGGTTATGTGACAACTGTCACGAGGTTTTGGTGTACATCTACTATCAACGACTCAACGGAAATCGACTTCAATCTTTAATACTTTTCTATTTATTTTAAAATTGTTTTTAATGTATAAAATTTAATTTCTTTTTAAATTACTACTGTGATCCTACAATACTTTGTCTCGCCCCTTTTTTTTTTAATTTTTCAATGCGCCATGAAAGTTACAAATTTTTCGTTGCGTCCAATTAATTCGATTTTCTTTTTTTTTTTTATAATATTTGTAACCTATTAAGGTCGAAAATGTTACGAATTCAAACGAATGATTTCATTGAGATTGATTCCGCATCGGAGCAGGGAATCATTTGGTTTTATCAGAAGGATGTGGAAAATTTCGCAAGCTATCAATATTTTTGCGAGCTTGTTTGCCAGCATGACATAAATAGTTAGTAATTATCCGTTCAAGTACAATTTAAAATTAGATTAAAAAGTCATACCATGTAACACGATCGAAAGCGACGCCCGAAGACTGATCCTTCGAGGCATAGACTAAATTTGTTGAAATTGTTTCGGTAGTAACTGGTGTCTACTTTTGCGCTTATAAGTTTCGAAAAGAGTGTTTCAAACGTTTCAAAAGCTGTAGAGGGAGTAGCGGTTCTTTTTCCCCAAAGATGTAATAACCTGTTCTGGTGTAAGTTCTAAAATATCAGTTGCAAAGCTTAATAAATCTCTTTGTGAAATTATAATTATTTAATTATTATAACTACGTTTTAGGTAATAGTTGTTGAGAGGCATATCTATATAATATATCTTAGAAAATAGTATAAAAACAATAAAACGTCAGATTATACCAAAAATATGTATTAACTACTATAACTGTAGCACGAGAGCCAGAAAAAAACACCTAATGTAAAATTAACCATTACAAAGCGGTATATAAAATTTATAATACACTTAGGGGGGTTCCTCAAGTTAAAATAAAACAGAGGATCGATGCCTCCACCAATTTTTACATTGCTATTTAGGATTTTAAGCTCTAAATAATGTACTGGATATGATCAAATATACGTGATTATATAAATATATTTACAAGTAAATTAAATTTACAGACAACGCTATAAGAATATAAAAGCGAATATTAATAATAATATTATAATTAATAATAATACGAACTGTACTAAGCGAACTGCGTTAAAAAATCATTTTATGAATTGAAATGTTTGTATCTTATTAAGCACTTATCTTAATGTTGTTATCAACCGATAGAAATTTTTATAAGGAAAAGGCAAAATGCTTATTCATTTTTATTTAAAAAATAATTTTTTTTTAGAAATATAAAATAGAAAAAATATTTAAACTTAATCCTAAATTATAAAAAAAAAAATAACGCAAAATATTTAGTAGATCAAAAATTAGATTTGTCAAAGTATAATAGATCACTCTATATACGTATACATGTTTAAAATATATTATTGGCTTAGAATTTATTAAAAACCAAGATATTCACAATCATTTAAGATAACATTTTCATAAAAATTATTAAGTTTTGCACATATAAGTTCAATTTGGTCACTGGATGATAAATGATTTTTATCTCTCTCAAAATTAATCATGTCATTTAATTCCGAAGGCCTTTTTTCTATTAAGCAATCTCTTGAATTGCATTTATCAATTATGATTAAGTTGGCAACTATAATTTTGGAACGAAAATTTGAAATTTGAATTAAATATTCATTTGCCATGACTTTATTATTAGTATCATTTAAATCAATAAAAACTTTTTCAGATGGGTAAATTTTCAATAATTCATCACTAATAAATTTATATACATTATTGATGAATTTCTCAATAATCAATTTATAATTTTTTATCGTCATATCATTAGTTGTTTTTCTTATCGTACTCAATGCAGAAGATAATCGATCAAACATATTTATAGATCTATTAATTATATTGTAAAGTTGAATCACACAATGAATAAATGAAGTTGTATCATTATTATTTTGTTCATTTATGCAAATATCTATTAGCGATTTCAACATACCATTAAAATATTGGATTATTTCAGTGTATCTGCAACGCATGAATTTTGACAGATATTTACGTTTAGTCAAATGGTTATCTCTATTTACTAGGCCTACAATATCATGAACATTTATATAATTTTTTTTTTCGATAAGAGTTATGTGATTCAGATTGCTCCAACCTTTTTTTTTAATAATCGAGTTTAAAAACGTAATAATTTCTTCTTCTCTATCTTGAGGAAGCCAGAACCTAGTAACATTAAGACAATAAAATTAACTATTTTAATTATCACTCAAAATAATTGATATTAACCGTATAATAATCTCAATTAATATGATAAGTCAAGTTAATAAAGTGTCAAAGATTTGTTTTTCTATTAGCTTCGATACAAATCTGAGAGGGTAATAATTTTACCATGATATCTTCATTTATTTTTTTTAGCTTGGATGTTTTTTTGTGCTTGTCACTACTTTTTCTGAGATCTCAGTAGAACAATTTATCGTTGAGAAAAAATATCACAAATCGTATTTGATTGAAGGCATTACACTCAAAAATTAAGAAAATTTCTCTCGTTACCCGTAAATGGGGGAATTCGCCCAAAAAGTTACACTTTTTAAAATCAGTAAATTTCGACGTTTTTATAATTGATATATATAAAAAGTAACAGTATTTCCGGAACACTTTCAAAAAATAAGTTGAAAAAGTAAATTTTAGTGAAAAAGTTGTTATTTTAATTCCCCACAATGGGCAAGTAAAGGATCATATTTGTAAAAAATATTTAAAATAATATGTAATCACCTTATGTTTTTATATATAAAAAAATTGTTTTGATCTATAAATTTTTCAAAAAGTTATCGCAGTTTTAAGTAAAAAAAATTGAAATAAAGTCAAAAATTAGTGATTTTTAAATTTGTATTTTTTTTTTGGATATTTCGCCATTTACGGGGAACGAGAGAAATTTAGTCAATTTATATTATGACGTATCGTTGAAAGAAATCGGTTCTTCGATTCCGTTGGGTTTTCGAATTTGGCGAGATCTAAGAAAAAAGTGATAAGAGACAAAAAAAAATCTCTGCTCTACTTTCTTGTCAATCGCCCAACACTCTAAACCATAAATTATAGCTGGTCTCACTACAGTCTTATAGAACTTACCTTGCAGCTTCATTGTAATTATTTTATCACATAACAAACTAGACGCTTCTTTCCACTTCAACCACCCACACTTAATACTATGTCTTACATCGTCGTCAATAACACCGGTCGTTTGCACAACTGATCCTAAATACTTTCCACTTCCCTTATCAAGTCCTCGCCTATTGTCACTAAACTCCTCATTTCACCTAACTCGTGTACTCTTTTGTCAAACTAGTACTTTTTTCAAAATAAAGTATATAAAATAAGCTTTAATTTAAGGTGTATATAAAAGTGTCAGTATTTCCGAAATATTTTAAAAGCAAAATTGAAAAAGTTCTACTTACTATACGCATGTTTAACATTTGACCCCCCTTGTATGAAGGGAAATGGTTCGTTTTAAAAAAATTATGTTGGATAAAAATAGTATATATAAAGTATTTATAAAAAAAAAACACAACCCAGCACAAGAGGTTCGTGGCACAAATGTGACATGACATAGTTGGGTCAATTATAATGATATCTGACAGTGATTAAAATCACTGTAAAAAAAACGCTTCAATGCATATCATTAGATAGTGTTTAATTTTTAAAAATAGATGTATTATTCCAAAAGCTATATGATCTGTTATTTTCTTATTTATATTCTGATTAAGATAAAGTGTGTCGAATGCAAGAATGTAGTATATTAATATTACTTCTCGTGAAAAAATTGTATTGATCCATACATTTTTTAAAAAGTTATAGAATTATAAAGTTAAAATTGTAAAATATGAAATTGAGGATGTTCATACAAAAATAACATTTGGTAACTATTTTCACCATGAAGACAAATAAAGTCCGAAATTTTTTTTTTCTATAATAAAGTATATTACATTATCTTTAATTTAAGGTATATATAAAAGTGTCAGAGTTTTCGGAACACTTTCAAAAGTTATGTTTGAAAATGTTAATTTATTGTAAAAAAGTTGTCATTTTGAATCCTCCCCCTGTGTGCAGGTAAAGAGACAAATTTATAAAAATAATATATCAAATAATAGGTAAAGACATAATACAGGCGAATGAGGGAATTTTTTTCAATTTTTGAGGGTAATGTCTACGACTAGATACGAATTGTAGCTATCTTTTGACGTATCGTTGAAAGAAATCGATTCGATGAGTGCTGAGAAAATGTGGTAACAGACACAAAAAAAAAATAAATAAAAAACCCATCATAGTAAAATTAATACCTTCTCAGGTTCGCATCAAAGCTAATATGTATAAATATTTAGCAAAAGAAGTTTATAAAATCTTATTGATTCAATAACTAACAAATTATTATTGTAAGCCAATAATATTTAAAACTAACTAAAACAGTCCTATAAAAGCATCAATATCTCGAATAAAGTAATTTTTTTTAACAAAATTAAATAATTTTACTTAGTAATTTATTACCAGACTATAATATTCCAAATTTTTTGGTAACATTTTACTAAATAAATAATTTCTAAAAAAAAAAATGAATTTTAGATTCACCTAAAATAACAATTGATTTTTACAATTATGATCAAATAATATAATACGCTCAATTGAGTAGATATTTTTAAGAATCATTAAAATTAATAAAGCCCTTCATCTTTTGTGTATGTTTGCCATAAAAATGATATATACTTAATAATTTTATTTATTTAATAATTTTTAATTTTTCTGAAAAATTACAATATTAAATTAACAAATATCAATTGCATCTTAAATTTAATTACTATAATTAGCATTTATTCATGTTTATACTTATAAATCATAGAACTGCGTTTTATGAATATGAAGGTAATAGGAGTTAATTTTGCTTTTGGAATAATCCACCAATTTTTTAAAATGAAACATTACCTACAAATTGTAACGAAGCGAATTTTGTGATAGTGATTTTAATCACTGTCAGATATCAACTATACTTCTCCTAACTATGCCACGTTCAGACTGTGACGGAACCCCACAGTGCTACGATTTTTTTATGTCTGTCGCCACTATTTCTCAGTCTTCACCGGAACGAATTCATTTAACGATACGTCAAAATATCACAAATCGTAAATTGTTGAAGACATTACCCTTAAAAATTGAGAAAATTTCCTCATTCAACGTAAATGGGGGAAATCCTCAAAAAAATTACGCTTTTTAAAATCAGTAAATTTCGACATTTTTAAAATTTTTTTTTCTCAAAATTACCATAACTTATTGAAAAATGAACAAATCAAAATAATTTTATTTTATATTAAAACTTTAGATATTTTCCTTTTATTTGATATAATTTTTTTGAAAATCTGACTCTTAACCTGCCCACAAGAGGGATTCTAAATAGCAACTTTTTTACAAAAATCAAATTTTTCAACTGATAATGTTTCGGAATTACTGCGTTCTTAAACACATATTAAATAAAAGCTTATGTTATGTTTTAAAAATTAAAAAAAATATATATTCCTAATGACTTATCTGGTATGTACAAATGGCTGCTGTAGTTAAAAACATACTATTTTCGTGTAAAATTTTCTAATTTAGATTTTATATTTTCAACTTGTAACTGCTATATTTTTTTGAAAAATGTACCAACACACATTTTTTTCTAAATAGTTTGTTTATATCAATTCATGTGACATATTTTTTATTTAAATGGAAGCCTTCATACAGAAGGAGTTATATCTTAAATATTCGAATAAAAGTAGGAATTTTTCAACTTAATTTTTTTTTTTTCATTTGGCATATTTTTTTTTAAATCAGACAATGTTCCATTATACAGGTGGGTGTAAATCGTTAAAAATTCTAGTTAAAAGTGGAACATTTTCAACTTAATTTTTGATAATGTTCCGGAAATATTGGATCTTTAAACATATGTTAAATTAAAGATTATGTTACGTACATAAGTATAAGTTAAAAAATATAGTTTAAAAACTATAAAAACACGTTTTTAAAGTACATTGAACTGAAAAATTAAAAATAATTTTTAAAATAGTTTAAAACAATAATGAACGAAAAATATGGCACAAAGCAACAATAAAAATTTGTTTATATATATATAATGTTAATGACACGCGCGCATGTATAGGTACAAAAACAAAAATAATTTTATTCAGATAAATAGTATGGTCTGCATGTATTGAGCGGGGGGGGCGTTAATGTGTTCCGACGGTCTAGTCAAGGCCATAGACGACTGGATACGTGAGAAATAACACGTGGCGCGTGGAGAGTTACAAACAAACATACATACAAATAATCATACATAAANCGTTAATGTGTTCCGACGGTCTAGTCAAGGTCATAGACGACTGGATACGTGAGAAATAACACGTGGCGCGTGGAGAGTTACAAACAAACATACATACAAATAATCATACATAAATACATACAGGTGAAACTAATAAAGCGTGTTAAAAATATAATTCAATATACAAAAAATATGGCACAAAGCACCCACGCTTTTATCACAATAATACTAGTACTTTTCGTACATTATTGTTTCAAGCTTATTTTAAAAATTATTTTTAACTTTTTAGTTCAATGTGCTTTAAAAGCGTGTTTTTTTTAGTTTTTTTTAACTATATTTATTTTTTACTTTTTAGTTACATGTTATGATAATAGTTACTATCAATATCATGGTTATAACGGGTAAAGGAGAATCAGGGTTCGATTCCGGAGTGGGAGTCTGAGAAACGGCTACCACATCCAAGGAAAGCAGCAAGCGTGCAACGTGGAGGTAGTGACGAAAAATGACAATACGGCAATCATTCCTCGTAATCGGAATAAATACACTATATATCTCTTNTCGTAATCGGAATAAATACACTATATATCTCTTAATGAGAATAAAGCGTATTAATATATAAGTTTTAATAGTAATTAGAATATATATTTATACATGTAAAGGGACTTAAGTACGTAAACGTATCATGTACGAGGTATAGCAGTGTTTCGTGGACGGGCGTGGCGGGGGGAACGTTATACACGAGGTATATACGACGGCAACGGCGTCGGCTGTAGGGATATATAAATGAATATTAACATATACGTACATATAAATATTAATATATATATATGTATTTATATTTTAATATTAGCGGCGATGGTAAGAATATATAATCTTTGCATAATATCTCGGCACTTTCGTTGGCGTCCACGACGCGATGTCTGGCGTGATCCTCGGGCGTCAAAAGGTTAGCAGCGTAGATGACGACGCACAGTGGAATGAAACGCCGATTTAGGCGGCCAAAAGTATCATTTTTTAAAAGTCACTTAAATTTTTTTTTTTTAGCAAAACACATTAATATCATACTTAAGGGTTTTAATACAAATTTTCAAGAGCATAAGTTGATTTAGTGAAGGTGTAGAGCTATTTTAATGTTATACTTCTAAAATTTATCCGTATTTTCAGTAATTTTGAGTTTATTTTTGTACATTTTTTTTATGCCTTAAAACATAATTTAAAATTAAATTTTTTTTTTTATTCCTATTAAAAAAGATATCCTTTTTCAAATGAAAAAGAAAAAAAACTTTTTTTTTAATTTTTGTGGAATTTAACAAATTTATACTTTAAAAAAAATCGAATTTTTTCGTTTTTTTCTCTAGTTTGCTCGTTTAAAGAGATTAACTAAAAATTACGCAAAATTACACGTTAATCCATACATGTGGCTTGTAGAGCAAGTCATCAGCTACACTATGAAAAAAAAAAATTTTGCGCTCGATAATATTTGAACTGTACATACTGCATTTACCTAGAATAAACGAGTATTTCCCTAAAAATCGTATGTTTTACAGGATTTTTACTCTATAAATAAAATTAGTCATTATTTATTATTAATTGTTATACGATTACATTGATATATAAATATGAATATTTTAGTTTTATACATATAAAAAATAATTATGCCATTGATAAATTCATGTCTGAAAATGAATCATTTAATTGACTATTTAATTCATCTTCTTTATAGTTGTTATCATTATGAGGGAATATTACTAACATCTTACCATCTTCTGATAACTCTTTTAAATGCATTTGCTTATTTCTATCGATACAAGAAATGTAAGGATCCGATGAGATAAGAAGTATGTGAATTAAATCCTCATTAGTATTTAAGCGCGAATTTTTTCTGGTGTGATGTTCTCGGTACATTTTATAATCTTTATTGCGACTCTCTTGTGCCTCCTCAGATAAGTTGCCTAAAATAAATGTTGATATTTTTTATTGTAGTAACTATAATCTTTTGTGATATTACCTATAGGAAGTGGCGCATATTGAATAATATGAGCACCGTGTAACAAAATTTTATGCACTGACGCCGGCATATAGTACCATGGATACAATGATACAAACAATTTAGCTGTTAAAAAGCAATATTCTTCAAAGGCCTTTATGTTTATTGTATATCCGCTCGCTATTACCGATAAAATTGTTCCACACCGTTTAATTAAATTAATATCAATTCCAGTACAGGAGGATGACAATTCAGCGTTTTTAAAAAATTTCCTTGCAGTATTGCCATCGTTCGTAGTTCCATGTCCTATAATTGGACAATAATGAATATATATTAGACAATATTAAATTGTATAGAATGAATTATTTTTTAAATGTTTTAACATTCTAATATTAAATTAGACTAAATTATCACATACCTTGTAACACAATATCTACTAAAAGTCCCATTTCAGACCTAAATTTATTTTGAATATGTTGTTTACGAACACTATACAAACCTTTGTTTACAGCCTTAACCTTTAAAATTAGAAGAAAATAAATTGTCAGTGGATTGCATATTGTATATTTTATAATTTTTTTATTTTACCTGCCAAGTTTTAATTTCTAATCTATACGAAAGATGAATAAAATACTCAAAAAAACGTATCCACGCATGCAACGTTGACAATCCATACTTATAATTTTCTGTTATGCATGGTCGATATTTAACTGCCTCAATGTCATTCATTTCGGTTGGTTTACATCCACAAATAAAACATTTTTGGCTAGATATTCCAGTCAAAGAATTACATACCTATAAATTTTTTTTTTTTATCGAACCGAGTTAAGAAATAAGTAATCAAATTATATAGATCAATAAAAAATATTGATCATTAATTTTCTTGTTTGAAATTTTTTTTTCTGTGACTGAATAATATAATCATTACTAATAAAAGTACACAATAAATTTTAGATATTTATAATAAAGTTTAATATTAACCTTTCCATCAACCATAGAAAAAATAAGCGTATGTTTTACTTCAAAGTATTCGTCATTGAATAATACATATGTAGTATTTAATTTGCTTATTTGTTTTTCAATTTCTTTTACCTCCTCTTTGGTACTTTCAATTGTTTCTTTCATAAATTTGTATTTAATAGGTCTACAAAATCTAGTAGAGGAAGGCATAGAATTTTTCCAAATTACGTCACTACTATCATTGCTATCATCACTACAGCATCTAAGTTCAAGTGGCACAAGAGAGAACATGAACATTGTTTGGTCAGTTGTACAAGGGTTGTCATTAAATTTTTGTTTATATTGGGCCTGACCACTACTTCCGTCGCAGCCCCATTTATAGAACATTTCTAATAACTTTTTGCCAATTTTTACCTCGTTGATAGCTGGTATTTGAAAAATTCTTTTAGTTGTGTGATCTAAAAGATTCTGCAAGGGTATTATGCAACCAGATTCACTAATTTTAACATTATCAGGATAACATTTTTGTTTAGCACTAAAAATTTTTTCATAAGATGGATAAATATCGCAATTCCTCTTTTTAGCTCCTAATCTTATATTCATATACTGTTGTTTTGTAAGTTGATTGTCTACAATAAATGCTAAAGCTTCATCAGCAGTATAAGATATAGGTTCTTTGTTACAAGAATCTTTAATTGCCATTTTCATTTGTGGGACACTATTAGGAGACAACAACAGTTTATTAAATAAAGCAGTCTCATTTCTTTTTCCAGACACAAATAACTTTTTTTTTGCTGCACATAAAATTTCAGGTGACGTCATTGATGTCATAGTTAACGCAGAGTTAATTTTTCGCCGCATTGTTCGTTCTGAACATTCAGTTAAATCAACCAAAGGTCGGCCCTGTATTGTTTTAGTAGATTTTTTTTTAATGGAAGGCATTTTAAATGGTGTAGTAAGCCATTCTGAATAATTTTTCAAAAACCTTTCATGATGACGACTAACCTTAGTCCATCTTCTAGAAGCAGCCAAACAAAATACTAATATACTTTTTTCAACTTTTTTAATAAAATGAGTACTCCAATTTGCTCCATTATATTTTTGCTTTAAAAAATCAAAAATTACTGCCCTTGAGTTATTGTTTGTTATGTTTTTTAAACTAATACCATTTTTTTTAATAACTTCAATCAGTTGTTGATTTGAAAAAAAAATAGATGATGAACAATCAGAAACTAAAATAAATGTATAAATTTAATATTGTTAAAAATTATAATATCAAAATTAAAAAAAGGTTTAATCTTAAATCTTAAACAATCCTATTATATATTATATAGCATTATGATCGAAAAAAAATTTATTAAAAATGTATAACTTGTTAAACAGTTTTTCCAGTAAAAAATAAATCTACACACATTTATAAATTGATTAAATAAGGGTATAAATTATTTAATAATAACTTACCAGGTGTTTTAATATCCATTTGAAGAAAGTAATTTTAAAAGTTAAAAACTTATAAAAAAAAACACTATATTGAAAAAATGTATAGAAAATAGAGAGATTAACAAATGGAGAGTGGTTAACTTTATGGCATAATATAACGATGAAAAAATTTTTCGTCAGATAGATATACATTCAAGATAACTTAAACAATACCAAATCTTATCGATGAGTTCATATAATGTTATTTATTAGTGTTAACTTATGAGGATGCCTATAAAATCATAATACGATTTTTAGGGAAATACTCGTTTATTCTAGGTAAATGCAGTATGTACAGTTCAAATATTATCGAGCGCAAAATTTTTTTTTTTCATAGTGTAGCTGATGACTTGCTCTACAAGCCACATGTATGGATTAACGTGTAATTTTGCGTAATTTTTAGTTAATCTCTTTAAACGAGCAAACTAGAGAAAAAAACGAAAAAATTCGATTTTTTTTAAAGTATAAATTTGTTAAATTCCACAAAAATTAAAAAAAAAGTTTTTTTTCTTTTTCATTTGAAAAAGGATATCTTTTTTAATAGGAATAAAAAAAAAAATTTAATTTTAAATTATGTTTTAAGGCATAAAAAAAATGTACAAAAATAAACTCAAAATTACTGAAAATACGGATAAATTTTAGAAGTATAACATTAAAATAGCTCTACACCTTCACTAAATCAACTTATGCTCTTGAAAATTTGTATTAAAACCCTTAAGTATGATATTAATGTGTTTTGCTAAAAAAAAAAAATTTAAGTGACTTTTAAAAAATGATACTTTTGGCCGCCTAAATCGGCGTTTCATTCCACTGTGCGACGGTGCGCGAATGCGGATCGGTTTGTTGACGTTGTCACTTTGACAATGGGAAGAAGACTACGGTATCATTAGCGGCGGGACGTCGTCGGCCGTGCGGCACTTGCTGGACTATGCATCGCGGCGTATAACGCGCGGTGTTGGTCAGTCAAATACTCATAAAATAGGGCGACGGCTGATAAAGGTGGCACGAGTCTTGGGGCATCGTGTATAACGAAACGACGCGGGGCCGTGTCGATTACAATAAAAATTTGTAAAAATTATATATATATATATATATATATAATTAATGACACGCACGCGTATACGGGTACGAAAACCAAAAATAAAATTATACAGGAAAATTGTGTTAGNGATTACAATAAAAATTTGTAAAAATTATATATATATATATATATATATAATTAATGACACGCACGCGTATACGGGTACGAAAACCAAAAATAAAATTATACAGGAAAATTGTGTTAGTGGCGAGTTGTGAGCGGGGTGGGGTGAATGCGTTACGACAGTCTAGTCTCAAGGTCATACACGACGGGATTCGCGACATAATAACACGTGCCGCGTGGAATTACAAACTTACAAACGACAAACAACAAAAATACATGTGAAACTAATATAAGCGTGTTAAAAAAAAAAATGTGTCCCGACGACTTTTCTTCTTTGTTTAAATGGACGTCGAAGACGAACAAAAAATAGGAGTTAATTTTACTTTTGGTATAATTTACCAATTTCTTAAAATTAAACAATATATTTGCATATTTGCATCGAAGCATTTTTTATGACAGTGAATTTAATCACAGTCAGATATTATCTATACTTGACCCGTCAAGTAATGACGAGAATATGCCACGTCCATAGTATGCTACTATTTTTATGATTTTGGTGATTTTTTAAATTAAAAAAATATATATTTAAGGGGAATTAATAATGTAAACAAATGTTTTTTTTTAATTTAATAATTTGCTATGAATTGTGTAGGAATATACTGTGATTATTTTAACACTAGTCATTTAATTTCACTTAAAATAATAGTTATGTTATAATTATTTTTGGTATATTTAGTTTCACCGCTATAATTTATATCGTCTTTTGTTGATTGATTATTTTACATTTTTTAAATTAAATTAGTATAAAAAAAGTAAAAAATTTAGATTTTTTTTTATTGAAAATAACTTTATTGAAACTTACTTGGAGTTGTTAGGATCCAATAGTTCATTAAAGCCAATATTTTCATAATTATTTTTTATCGTTTGATCATAAAAATTTATCAGTAAATTTTTAATAACACTAACATCAAGGTTAGAATTCTTAAATGTATTAAAAGATTCTTCTTCATACAATATTTTCAAATACTGCGGAACATGATTTTTACTTACAGATAAATACATACTATGATTTTTTATAAGTTCATGTAAGTTGATGGTCTTCTTAATATTTTTAAAGAAGTTTTTAATATGTTTAAACTCGTGAAAAATATCTTGATCATTATCTCTTAATAATCCAGATGGATTTTGATTCATTTTTAAATTAGTAAAATCACTAAATGGTCTAATGTAGTCTGTAATCGTTGCTAGACATTCCATATTATACCTAATTTTCTTTAAATTTATGTGGCTCATAAATAACATAGCGTCCAACAATTTGCTAAACAAGATTGCGGACATTTTCACTGCATCATACAGTAAAATAGAACAGTTATTAAAATTTGTTGTGTTTAATTTTCTTAAATAAATGCTGCATTTATCTATAATATAATTAATCATTATAAGGAAGTACGAAAGTATTTCAGTATACCTAATATTGAGCGAACAAATTACTATGTTCAATATTTGTATATAATTTGTACATGTCGCTTTATTTTTAAAAAATTCATGTATTGGTTTTCCATGTAAATATTCATCTTTAGCCCATATATGTGGCATTAATATCCATCCTTGTTGACTACAGAAATGTCTCACCACATCAATAACATATTTTTTGTATTCTGAGGATTTAATTTTACAATTTACAAAATAGTCATTATTTAAAAACATAAATGGAAAGAAGATATAAACAAAGTATTTCATATTCATCATATCACAGAACTTAAAAATTTAATACTTCCCAACGTAAAATGGATGATTAATTTTAATTTTATACAATAAATATATAATTTAAATTATTTAAATAATAATTAAAAAAACTTATTCTTATGTATATAAATAGTTAAAACACAAGTAAATTTGTATAAATCAATGTTCATGTAGTTACTTTTATAAATAGTACATGTGTATACAATTAAAATTAAAAAAACATCTATTACATTATATAGAATGTATATAATTATATATACATTTTTCCTTATTATATTGTATTTATAGTACTTAATTGTGACTATGGAACAATTACACTTTTTATGTTTTGTTTATTAATTACAAATTAAGTTTTATTTGTGTATTAAGACCAATAATTAATTAACTATTATTATTCGATATAAATGTAGGAGTGAGAGGTTGGGTTTAAGACAAGATGACATTCTATGATTTAAAATAAAACAATTTAAATTGAAATTTATTAAATAAACACTGAAAAATTTTAAAAATATAAAATGTGTTTTTTTATATCCTATAATATAAGTTATATATATATAACTTATATTTTTTTAAATCGTGTTTTACGTCATAAAGATTTTTCTTTATTAAGAATAAATAAATAATTTTTTTTTATTACAGTAGTAAAAAAAAACTATCATAGTCAAAGAATATTACAAATTGCAATTCTTATTCAAATCAGGAAAATACTAAGAAAGAGGGTTGAATAAAAATGAAATGGTTAAAATTTTTTTTTTTTTTTTCTAATATTATTCTAGTGTTTTTAATAACTAAAGCGTATGTAAAATAAACAGTTTTTTTATTAATTGGTCTTGATCGAAAGCTCTAATTACACCGATCGCAGACGTTATACTTCGTCGTAATCAACGTGAACCTTCGGGTTCTGGGTAAGTTAATAACAAATTTTTAATGACTCAAAATGGGCAGTAATCGTACGCCACCGTCAACACCGTTATCTAAGACTATAAACATTCCGATAACCCCAATATCTATAATAAACCGCAGCTAAATTTTTTTTTAAACAAAAACAATAAAAAAAAATAAATAAAAAAATTACCTACACCTTTAAGCTAAGCTTGTGGTGGTGTGGGAGTAACAGTAAACATATTTTAAGATTATAAATAATTAATTAATATATAATATTATATACAAACATTTTAATTTAATTACAACAATAATGTCATAATAATCTAGATAAATATGGAGAAGCTATATAATACTAATTATAATATACATTGACCTAGTTCACTCATTAAACATTATGAATACATTTTTTGAAGTTAATTGTGTTATTAAATATAATTTTTTTCAGTTTAACTGACAGAGAATTAAAAATGACAGGACCTAGATAATTAATGAATTTTTGACCAAAACTTCTACTTGGAAATAAGACTTTAATGTTGAATAATCTATCTTCCTCTATTGAGTTATCATTTGGTTTTTTAAAGTAGAAGTTATATTGTTTATGCACTACTATATAGTTATAACTATATAACTATATAGTTATAACTATATAACTATATAGTAAATGAGAATAAAAATGAATCGCTAAAATCCGTAAACGCAGATGATTTAAATGACAACTCGATTACAGTGTTATCGTCAAACAAAAGACCGCACACAACATCACCCGACTCTTTACCTCTATTTTAACATAACACAAATAAGAATTTAAAAATATTAAACCGATACACATTACTTCAAACAGATAACAATGATATGGAAACCGAACAAACTACCGAACCTATAATACACAAATCACCTCCTTTATTTATCAAATCCGAACTCAGTTATTCAAAATTTTGTGAAATCATTAAAAAAAATATCGATCCCGAAGAATTCACTTGTAAAAGCAATACATCTCAATTCTCCTGAATAATACCGTAAAACTGTACGCATTTTAATACAAAAAAATGTTGATTTTCACACTTACCAATTAAAACAAGAAATACCATTTCGCGTTATTCTAAAAAACCTCCATCACTCCACGGGAATAAAATTCATAGAAGAAGAATTAATTAAACTGGGATTCAATGTCAAACAAGTAGTTAATGTTTTACAAAGACAATAAAAAAACCCATTCCAATGTTTTTTATCGATCTTGGACCAAATTTTAACAATAATGATATTTTCAAAGTAAAATCAATTTGTTACTCTAAAGTCAAACGCAATCACATATGGAGAGCCTAAATCTGCTGCTAACACCGCTGCCTTAAGATTTCAGGATGATCTTCTTACCCTTAGCAATCATCTTAAACAAATTTCTATACCCGTACCCACCGATCCTAACCTAATACGCCTAGGAAATAGTAATGCAAGGAAACCGAGACCTTTGAAGGCAATCTGTCAATCCAAGGCCGATGCTTTTCAGCTGATTATCAACTTTAATTCACAAATGCGGAATGGAATATTACCAGAACCTGGTTTACGTATTGTTCACGACAAAACCACACATGAACGTGAACTTTTGCGTAAAGCTCATTCTGAACTGCAACGTAAAATGAATGGTGGGTCTTCAGATCTTACTATTTCTTATTTTAATGATGTACCCTCAGTGATTAAAGCCGGCCCAAAAAGCATGAACCCCAAAAGAGGAAGCAATCATCGTCCGTGATCTACTCAGCATTTGCATTAGTTCCTGATTTCAACTCTGGTTTGCATGTTTATTGTAAAAATAATATTAGTTGTACCTTTTTATCTAATTAAACTCATTTTTATCTAATTTTAATAATGCTAAAACTAACTTTTCATCTATACCTTACCCTAAGTCTAATACTTTTGATGTTATGCCTATTAATGATTATGGTCTTAATATTTACTACCAAAATGTACGTAGTCTTCGTAGTAAATTATTAAATCTCCGAACTAACTTTATTTTGTTATCTTATGATGTGTATATTCTTACTGAGACTTGGCTTTCTGATGACATCTCCAATTCTGAATTAGGATTTGATGGGTAATTAATCTTTAGGTACGATAGAAACGCACGCACAAGTAACTGTATTCGAGGAGGAGGGGGACAATAGGATTTATCACAAAATGTTTTGTAGATACAGGCCGTGAGAGTGGATAATCACTCCATGGTGCCCAGCCCTCTCCGAAGCCCGTATAAGTTAGGGGGAAGACAGTTATTTTTTTCAAAAAACCAATCGACGCAGTTCTTGATAATGTGTTCGACTACTTTACAAAGAGAAGAGGAAAGAGCTATTGGGCGAAATGCAACAGAAGCTGAGTTAGATTTAGGAACGGGAATGACGTTAAAATTACGCCAAGAATCAGGAATAACACTTTGGGACCATAAAGAATTAAGAATGACTAAGAGAAGTTCAAGGCAATGAGAAGGGAGATGTTTTAGAACCAAAGGGGAAATTCCATCCAAACCAGAGCTGGACGATTTACGCGAATAGATTGCATAGGAAATTTCACTGAGTGTAAACGAATCAGTTTGAGGATGAAAAGGGAGAAAATTAAGGAAAGGGTTAGGATCAATGGTAGGAGAAGATTCTTCTAAGGATGGGACGTAGGGGGAGCAACCTTACTGCAGAAGGGATCAAACCATGACTCGTTTAAAGAGGGAGAATTTTTATATAGACAGTTTTTAAATTTTTTGGCAATAGCCCAGGTATTGGACAGGCTAGATGAAGGATTAAGTGAGGAACAGAAAGAGCGCCAGGACATAATTTTTGCTTGTTTAAGTATTTTTTGAACAGAGGCGTGTACCCTTTGGTACTCAAAAAAGTCATTTAGTAGACCCGAGGATCTATATTTTTTAAAAGCTTTAGTGTGCTCATTGATAGCGTAGGAGCAAGAGGAAGACCACCATATTGGAGAGGAGGGAAAGGACTTTTTGACTTTTTTAATTAAAGGAACAGATAAATTAACTGCTCTTATAATTGTAGACACGAACCAGTTGTAGTCCTCAATGGGAGAGGAGGAGGAAAAATTAGAGGTGAAAATGGTCATGTAATTTTGAAAAGATGGCCAATCAGCTTTCGAATAATTAAATCTGTTAACAGCGGTGTGAGAGAAAGAGGGATAGGGAGTGGGAGAATTTGTGTGAGAAATAATAATGGGAAAATGATCACTTCCATGAGTGCAGTCTAGGACAGACCATGACAACAACAACGAGAGAGAGGGAGATGAAATGGTTAGGTCAACCGCGGAATCCATCTTGGAAGGGCCTCTAAGGAGGGTGGGGAATCCTGTATTGAGAATACAAAGATTATAGGCAGAAGTAGCAGACGAAATAATGTTACCACGATGATTGGTGATTAGTGCACCCCAGGAGGGATGGAGAGAAGAAAAAAGAGATCGTTCATTTATAGGGGATAAACTTCTTACGTTCCATTGAAGAATATGAAAAGAAAGAAAGTTAGAATTACTATTAAAATGTGTCATCATTGTCAGATAAAGGATAGTGGTTAGTTAATGTTAGTTAATGAAGATTCTATAGTTGATTGAAGTATTGAAGGAGAGGAAATTAAATTAGGATCGCTCGCGAGTAGCTGAACAATATGTTGCGATAAGCAGGAAATCCAGTTGCGGTCATCAACATTAATACTACGATTTTGGGACATGTATTTTAAAAAACTTCCATTAAGCGAAATTGGCATAGAACAGTCATTCGGTAGAGGAAGAAAGTGGTGGGAGGGGACTTGAGTTTTATTACTTTTTTTTACTTTATCAAGACGTATGATTTCAATACTATATAGTAAAGTACTAGGAATATTCGCAGAGTAGCCGTGTTCAGAAAGAGAAGGGGAAGTGAGACAATTGTTGGCGTTATTAACCGACTCAAACGTGATTTTTACACGCTTAGAACCAATAGGTGCTCAGAATACCAGGAAATAGTTTGGAAAGTTTTACCAAGCTTAACTGGGTGAAAATTACCTAAGTTATTATTGCTAGATGCAGAAACAAATTTGCTTTGACTAATTGGCGATTTAGAGCCTTGATTGTTCTTACCAGAATAACGAGAGTTATCCATGGAGATTTGTGGGTTGGAAGATTGCAGAGTGCTTCT